AGGGGAGAGCGCAATTTGTGTGCCCAAGAAAAAAAAAACGTCTTGCGTAAATTTAAAAAAAGCGGAAAATAAAACAAAATGTATGTCTACATGAGACTTTATTTAGTTTAAAAAGTGAGTGGAGAAACGGAGATGCTCTCAGTAGAAGCACAAACTCCCCTCCACCGGGCTCCACTCAGCACAGGGCCGCAAAGCCCCATAGCCCCAATAGCAGCAGAAGTAGCCGAGACGCACACCCACGCATCGTGCCATCACCGCTTCCTGAATCGGGCCTCACACGTGTAAGGTTGTCGAAAGCAACGGAGCTGTCACCAGAAAGAGAAATGCTGGGTGTGTCCTTCGCAAGAACCGCGCTGGTGTTTTCGGATCCACCGTCCGCCATGCTACCGTCGTCGGGTCCATCAGCCAGGCGCACCTTTGGCGATGATGAAACCGGCGATGACGAAGCTGGCGATGCCGAAGTCGGTGATGCCGAAGTCGGTGATGCCGAAGTCGGTGATGCCGAAGTCGGCGATGACGAAGTCGGCGATGACGAAGCCGGTGATGACGAAGCCGGTGATGACGAAGCCGGTGATGACGAAGCCGGTGATGACGAAGCCGGTGATGACGAAGCCGGTGATGACGAAGCCGGTGATGACGAAGCCGGTGATGACGAAGCCAGCAAAGACCCAGACTCCTCACCAGCACTGTGACTGCCTTTATGGGCCTCCTCTGGTAGAGGCCCTTTAGGGCTCAAACCGTCACCAACCCTCTTTTCTCCAGATTTCAGCTTGGAGGCAATCTCCCCATCATTCCCCAGCGTTGTGAGTGGCCCATCAGCAGCCGGTGTTGGAAGTGTGACTTTGCTGGCACTGAGGCTCGTGAGCCCATCATCATAAAGTGCCTCGTTGTACAGCAGGACATTGCCCACCGTCACGTCAACCTCATCTGTCCCCTTCGCACCGTCACCGCCAACGTAGAAGTCCAAGACACCGCGTGAGGTGTACTCAGAGACCGGAACTCTTTCCTGAACAAGTTCATTATTGTCAACGTACACATACAACTCATTCCAATGCCTTTTCAGTGCCACTTGATACGTTGTGCCAGGCTGCCACGTACCACCTCTATTTGACAACTCCCAATACTTTCCGTTGACAGTCACTCCCCACTTCTTGTCCTTCGTGTAGAAGAGACCAACAATCACCGTGCTGGCATCGTCATTCATCCTCACACCCATCAAAGGAACAGGACTGTCTGCCTCCGGCACCACGTTAATCATCACCGTCGCCACAAGAGTGAAGTCATTGTTCACAAAGTGGTACGGCTGGAACTGCCCCTTGCTGCCCACCGGCCACTCCGCCCCCGCTGCTGCGCCTCGGAACCTCACGCCCCCCTCCGTGCCTGCCACATTCCCACCATGCGCCATTGCGTTCACTCCGAAGTACTCGTCTTTCCATAAACTCCCCTCCAAACTGTTGGACCAAAAGCCAATCAGCCCTTTGGTGGGAACAGCACTTTTACAAACATTCTTTATCCGCGGGTCAACAGTGCCAGTGGAAGCGCAGTTTTTTAGTGCGGTGTCCATATCTTTCCAGGCCTTCACCACGCTCTTTATCTGCTTCAGCTGCTCAGTCAGGTTCACAGCGACAAGACTGTATGAATCTCCGCTCTTCTTATTCTCGTACAGTAAAATCAACTCCTTCTTGCCGCTTCTGTACAGCAGGGAGCTGGCGGCAGCGTCATCACCTTCGCGAGACACCGGCCCAACGTCGTGCACACGGGCATTGTCTGTCATCCAAAGATGCAGCCGATCCTCTCCCTTCTCCTCAGAATACACCGGCGTGGTGAGCAGCATCACCTTCTTTCCATTGATGGTTGCAGTGATGAAGCTACTTCGCACGCCCTCCCTTTTTCTATCGCCTGAGATGCCCCACAAGCGAGAAATTGGCTCACCGGTCGGCCAATAGTACAAAGATAAAGACTTGTACATGTAATAGGAACCATTCGTGCAGGGAGCCATCATGAAGATCCTTCGTTCATAAACATCGTCCCACTCCACAATCGATGGATCGCTGCAACCCTCATCTACCATATCGACTACAGGCTCCCATCTATTCTCTGACGGGGTGAAGTGCGCGACCATCAAAAAGGTATTTCTATTCCTTGTGGCCTGCAAGGGAAACACAAGTGTGCCGTCACTCATCACAGTAGCCGACCCTCCGCCAGCAGAGACATAAGTCCCGGGTGTAGCACGTATTCGGGCCTCAAAGTCCGCCGCATGCGGCTCACCCCACTGGACTTTCTTCTCTCCACCGTCAGTGACACTCCCCTTCACCAGCATAATCTTACATTCACTTCGATCAGCCTCTTTGCTCTCCAATGTTGCACGGCTGCAGCTTCCCAGCAGCACATAGACATTGTTGTCATTCACAATTGTCGTTGGTCGCACTGTATCCCTCATTTCATTACCACCTTCCTTCAGCAGCTGCGTGTGAAAGGAACCTGTGCCCGCACCCATCGGAATCTCAGTCGGTTCTGTTCCAATTCCCTTGAGGTGTTGTGACAAGATGCCAGTGAAACTGCCGCTTCCATTCTTGCAATGGGCCTCAGCAACGGCAAACACAGCACCGTCCACCTCCACAAGGCTGGGGACACGAAGCGAGCGAACTGACCCTTCGGCGCATTGCATTTCCTCCCATTTGGCACCAGTTATCGGTGTCGTCCCTGTCAATGAGTTAATGTCCATCCCTGGGGCACTCCCCGCAGCTTCAATGCCACAGCATGTCAAGAGCACAAACAGCAGCAGCATCACCAAATAAGAAAACAAATGCCAGGACATCGTGGGCATGTGTCGCTGCTCTCTCACACTCTCTTCCCTCCGTGCGGTGGATCCGCTCAGGCCTCAACGATTGTGTGTGTGTCTGTGTGTGTGTGTGTGTGCTGGTGGTGGTGGTGGTGACTGCAGAGCGTTTCAATGTGCGCAGCAGCGAGTAGCGTTTAATATCTCTTCCTTATGCGTGTTCGCAGAAGAGATAGAAAAGTAAGGCAAAACAAAATAGAAAAATAGAAAAAAAAAAGAATACAACGATCACACACTCGCCGCAGCCATAAGTGAAACACCCACCCGCACGCACCCGCACGGAGAGTCCGCAGTGTGGGACGCCTCCCGCAGAAATAAAAAATTTAAAAAACTAAACAAATTCATGAACACGTCGCTTACCGTCTCCCCCGCCCAGCCCCTTCAAACCCCGCCAGCAGCACCACGCAGTGCGCATGACGGAGGGGCCTCCCATCACGGCCCCCACAAAATCCCCAACGCCCTCCACTTCCCTCAGCGCACTGCAGCCGGAGTGGGGCGCAGCGTAACAAAAAAAAATAATATAATAATAATAACAACAAAAAATAAAACGACGCATGCAGCACTGTTTCCTGCTGCTTGGCTCCGTTCACAAGCGAGGGCGACGCCGGCGCAGCCGTAGTCTCAGGCTGCCCGGTCAGTGCGTGCAGCCCGACCAAGACGGAACAGGCGCATGCATGCCCAAGACGGCAACCCAACAAAAGAGAGACGCCAACGGCGTTTGCTCGAGGCCCTCAGCGGTGCATGCGGCACCCCCAATTGGGGCGGCACGCCAACCAAAAACGATGGCACCCAAAAAAACCAATGGGGAAAAACACCACGCCAAGGCGCAAAAAAAACTACAAATATTCGGTTTGCCCCCGACCTCTAGGCTGTGGTGGCCGCCGCATTTGCTTTCCCGCCTGTGAGCCCACTCAGCATGCAAAACTTACCCTCTCGCCCAAACTCTCTGCAGCAACAAACTGGGAACAGCGAGGAGATATCACCAATGGAATACTTCCGGCGTACACCCACAAGGCGCCATCATTCCCCACACAATTATTCTCGCAACCACAAGAAAAAAAAAAAAAGTGCTGCTGTGGTCGCGCTGGCCATAATAATCATTCGGCGAACGGCAGAGCGAGTCCCTAATTACGCCTCCTACCCACACACAAACACACTCCGGAATATATCTTACTCCCTAAAATACTTCACCAGTAAACTCAAGCTTTTTATTCCCCTCCTCCTTTTCCTTGTCCCTCTGGGTGTCATCCACGTTGGGTTTGTCGTTCACTTCAGAACTTTTCAGCTGATACCGCTACCTGGTACTGACGCACCTGCTGATTTCAAAATGCCGCAATGGCCTGAGGGTCCTCACGCTCATTGCTGCCCGTTACATTTGCCTGCGCGAGAACAACACATCCCTGCTACGCGTTTATTGCCGTACTGTCCTCATGATGCACGTAAATCATCTCCCACGACAAGCCTTCCGCAAACGTTTCCCAGTCATTAAAATAACTCCGTAGAAGACTGTTGAACCGCCTCACCGTGCTGATTCTGGTGCCATGCTCAGCCCTCGTCGTCTCACCTGCACCGCAACCATTGTCCTCCGCGGTGCACCAACGAAGAAAAAGGCGTCCACAAGCGGAAAAGTTCTGCTCTCCGGTACGTATAGCACCCCGCATTGTGCATCCAACATCGGAGGATCGTGGTCCAGCGTTATTAATGCAACGGGTATGCTTGGATGCTTTTCGGGGTTCGATTGCTGCACACATCTCTGTCGCCGACGACGTCCTGCTGGAGGCAACTCGTTGAGGTCCGGCATTACATTTTCCACAAAGACTCTACGCAGGAATGCGTGCAGAGTGTATCGCCCCAAAATTTCCGGCAATAACACTTTCCGGTACATCAATAGTCGAAAAATAACGTCATTCTCCCCATCCACCTTGAGCAACCCTCCAATTAGTTTGCTTCCAATGGAAAAACAGACCGGCAGGTTAACAAACCCCTCAACATTGCCTTGTCTTATTACTCTGACAACTTTCGCAAGTTTGTGAGGTGCGTCATTCGAGGGGCGCATTCCCACACCTCCAATCACACTATAATGTATAATATTTGAGGCGTCGATACCTGCCAGGACGTTATTGGCGTCACGCATGCGGTCCTCATAGTTATCGTCATTAAAGGTGCATCGTGAAATCGGTCCGACGTCATCCATGCGTGTTTGCATCCTTCTCCAGTACTCCACCTGCTCCTCTTCAGTAATATTGCGTGTCTCCCACACACACACATCGCCTTCACGTCGCTTTCATCGGGGCAATTCATGATGATTTTGATAGCACCCGCCTGCTCCGCCTATGCTTTCAGATTATCTTCGTGCGGGGATGACAACATAATCATGCCCCACTCAGGGGAGGGCACAACATTATTCGATGGCTCTTGAAAATGTCTTGCCATATCGATGATGATACACCCTTTCATTCCACTTCTGGCCAAATTTACCATAGCATCGCCAATATTATTCTCACCCTCGTATATTGTCACCGTTCGTGTCCTCTTGTCAAACAAGTATGCAAAATCTCTTCCAAAGCAGTACACAACCAGATGGAGCTTCGTGGCGTCGTAGTGCAGCAGCTGATAAAGGAGGTAGGAGCCAGCCGCCATTGACTTCCCTATCCCGGGGGCTCCAATCAAAAGACGACACCCCATTTTAGGTGCGCCTCTCTCTGGAGGGGGAAACACTCCTTTTAGATCACCCTCGACGATCTTCCACACCCGATGCACCTCAATGTTAATGTAGTAGTCGGCACTACGTATTGCATGCTCCAGCGAGTACGGTCATTGCTTTTCAGAGGAAAGGATCATGAGTCGTGGGGGTGGTGGACGGAATTGCTCTTCACCACCCACTGGGAGAAAAGTACACACAGTCTGCGTGTACTCCCATAATAACTCTTGTGGCCGTTGGCCCTCTCTCACCTTCATTCGCACCACCATGTTTCCCCCTTCGCCCTCGGGAAATCCCACGACGTGACTCCACGTTGCGTTACACACGGATTCGTAGAGTCCCTCCAGCCTCGGTCGTCTGCCCCTTTCCTCCCCTTTGTGCTCTCTTCCTTCCACCCTTCGGCGCTGTGCGAAGGGCCCATCCGAGCCGCCAGACAGCCCCGATCCGGGCCGGACGTCCTCCTCCCTGCAACACATTAGTTGCCGGGGGCTCCTCGGTGGCGTGAGATTCTTCCTCGCGGCTCTCAGACACTCTTTTCCTTATTTTTTTTTCCTTTGCAGTGCTTAGCTCGAGCTGAACTGTAGCACAATACTCAACCAGCAGTCAAAAGGGAGAATGAAAGAAAAAAGCAAAATACGCACAGACACAACTCTACGCAGCCGCAACGAAACCAAAGAGAGGGTCACCCACACACAGTACGCGGCGCACACCTCTCACACACAAACACGCACAGGCACCCCCCAATCCCACACACAACGCAAACGTGATACATCACGGCACCCTCCCACACAAACAACGAGGGCAAATTGGATCTCCCTCGACAACCCGTGTGAATTGCACGACACACACAACAACTGCGATGAGGCTTCTATTTCTTCTCGTATTGCACTCGCCA